ATATATATATATGGGAACTCTATAGAATGTGGAATAAAAACAGAATGCAAATCTCATTAATTTTGCAACATTTCAGAAGTTTAAACTGAAGAATTGTGGTTCACTTGTACCTAGTGTTTTTAACTTTTGTCCTCCACAGAACCTCACAGCCCATTGGTCATCTTAGAGAAAGGCCGACTCTCCTTCAGTCAGTACGAGCAGCAAATCTGTTCCCGCCGTGACTTTGTCCGCTACACCCGCAAAGATTCAGATCCAGAGAGAAAGGTTGAAAGCTCCCACTTCCACTCTAGTTTTTGGCATCTTGTATCCTCATACTGAATGCCACTGTGCTGCAGGTGGAGTATGTTAGGAGGAGGTACCACAAAGACATCCTCTGCAGCCCCGTCCTGATGCTCAACTTCTGCCCTGACTTACTGTCTGAACCTCTGGAGCTGCACAAAGCCACTAGAGAGCTGCTGTTCCTCATCGATCGCAGTGGCAGCATGAGCGGCAACAACATCCATCGTGTAAAGGCAGGCTGCAGGAAGCAAACRAATAAACTGCAGTATAATTTAAATGTTGAGGCACATGTATTGATCTGACTTTAGMCTGTCTGTCCTTTGTCGTTTCATCAGGAAGCCATGGTGGTGGCCCTGAAGAGCCTACCTTCTGGTACAGTGCTAAATATCGTGGGCTTTGGGACCACCATCAAACCTCTGTTCAACTCCAGCAAGCTCTGCACTGATGTTAGTGCTGCTCTGGGACCATACCTAGGAATCACTATGCTTAACTTTTATGATACTGCAATTTCTGTTTTTGATACCACCCATTAATTCATGTGGTAGAATACACGTGGAGCATTTGGATCACGCAGGGACTGTCASTTCTATTCTGTTCACTCTCTAAAGCAGACAACAAGGCTGCTCCTTGGGTTGCCTTAGCAGCAGAGTATCAGGTTTTATCCAGAACAGGGGCTGCAAGGACAAACAGTCTTTGCACATTCTCCACCATATGGTGGCCTTTCATGCATTTTCACCAAGGCAGGAGATCCTCTCAGGCATGTTTTTCAACAGTCTGAGCTAAGATCTCATTAAAGCAGGTGCTATGCTTATATATATATATTTGTGTGTGTGTGTGTGTGTGTGTGTGTGTGTGTGTGTGTG